GGAATGCAGAAATCACCCAGGAGAGATATCTACTTGATCGTGTGACGCAATGCTGTATGCAGAGTGCACACTAAATCTTCGTTGGAAAAGCGGAAAAATCCGCACAGCAACGGCGTGTAGTGTCTCACTTTGTAGAATCTATACGGCGATCGTTTCGCCACGGTGGGATAGATATAAACTTCAGCTAGGTTTTTCTCAAACTCCCCGCCGCTAAACAGCGATCGTAAGATATCCGATAGAAGTGTCTCGTAACGCGTCTATACACCGACGTTTAAACGCGTCGTTTATAAGCGCTCGCATCCGTTTAAGCGGCGAACGAGAGTGTGTCGCTTTAGCGCACACGCGGACCTTCCTTCGCTGTGCATTTCTCTTCAGAAATGTTCGACCTTTCGCCGACGAGAGCCTGCAACCAGAGGCCACCGTCTTCTCCTCGGGACACCCGGTATATTTACATAGGGCTTTGTATACCACGGTTACGGGACACGAGGCTGTTCTCTCCTCTGTTCGAGGCGGTGGACGAGCACCTGTACGACTACGGTAACCTGTCAAGCTGGAAGGGCAAGAAAGGGCCACCTAACAAAAGCTCTTGCTGTCGGATTTCTCTTTACCTGCCTCGCTCTCCTCCCTCCTCCGCCGATTTTCGAGGTACCTGAAGCGGAGAGTTCGCGAACAAGATTCGGAGGACACTTGGAAAATGTACGCTGACCACCCGTTATATCTTGCGATCTGAAGTAAATTTCCTGGGCAAAGTTAGTGTCTTGCGTTGGTAAAAATATGAGTCATTTTTCTTACGACTTTTGTGAGTCAAATAGTTCCGTATTAAACTTGCAACGACAACGAGGCTTGCTTTACCTTCCAGAAGTAGATTTCAGTACGCAAAGTGTCCTAATACCTAGGAACGGGTGCAACCTTCTACCTGTTGAAAGTCGAAAGTACTCCTACCATTCTATCGGTACTTGTGTGAAATTATCATCGTTGCACATGAAACGAGCGTATCATCCAGATACCGGTTATCTCGTCGTGGCACGAGCAAAGAGTGTAACGTTGTAGTCGAAATCCTCTTTCACCGGAAGTAGACTTTTGCAACGCTCGTTCCGGGGTTAAGACACAAGGAAGCAATGTACAATCTCGCAGAGAAAAAAATCTTCAAAATTCGCCAGATCTAATTCCGTTCCACTCCAAGTGACGAGAAGTATGAGAAAGAAAGAAAAGAGGACGTGCAACTTAGTTACGGATTACAGGACGAGATTTAACGAAGGGATAAAGGGTCTGGCGGGCGTGGAGAGCATCCCTTTTAGGATCGGAGGAACGAACGACCGAGGTGGAGGAGGAGAGTGGCGGGTACGAAAAATCGGATGAAGGAAACGGCAAGTTAAAATAAGCCCGCTCTCGGTCTCTCTCGGCCGCGGCCGTACAGAGAAGGGAGACGGCAAGTGTCGTCTTCGTAAGACACCGCCGAAAATACACCGATGCCTAATAGAAGGCTGGCTTGGCCTGTACCAAGAGTTTATACGCAACGAACCCTGTGTATCAACGTCCAAACAACCAGCAAACGGATGAAAAAGGGAAACCGATATCCGTCCTAGGTGTAAATTACAGCAGCGGTGTGTAAACGAGGCTGTGAAAATAAACCGATGGACACGTTCTATTTTAGCTGTTAACAGAGGTAACTGACTGGTAACGTGTGATCCAGTTTGGTAATTTCGTCGGTCAACTGAATTCATCTGACAAGTCTCCCCGCAACTTCGCCTCGATGTAAGCACGTTCACCGGAAATAAAGTGGCGGTAATAATCGAGGAAACACTATCCATCGAGGTCAGACCGGTAGGTCTTTGCTGGAATTTCACGGACAATTTGCACTTGTTTATTTTTTAGGACAGCTGTGGATCGTAGCCTCGCGAGAAACTCGATCGTTTCGATACGTGCATATACGTGGGTACGCTCAATTGATCGAAATTGGCTAATTCGTCGAGGACTGAAACTATCCTACTCCCAACCTGGCTAATTATCCCGGTGTATTGACCGACAGTAGCTCTCATATCGTAACGTAAGAGAGAGAGAAAAAAAGGAAAGAAAGCCATTCTGAATTGCGGTCTAGACCGTGAAGCAAAAGTAGGAGGAGGAGAGGAGAGGTAGAAGTGAGGTATTCATAGAACCAGTTGTTCTCCTGTGGCGATTCACGAGGGAATCAGACACCAACCAACTCGGTTACGCTTATCTACGACGAAAGTGACCGTACGGTGTTTCGTTTTACGTGCGGCGAGACATAGGGAATCGCGCTCCCGGTCTCACGTGTCTCTCGTCTCTCTTAAGGGAGCTGTGGGAGCTCCTTTTAGCATATAAAGGAGTTACGCTGGTCGCGTCTGTGCGTCCGTCGTCATGGCGAAACTAGTTCGGTCCCGTCCAGTTTTTCCACTCCCGTGCACGCTTCAGTCGTGCTCTCCACGATGGTGGGAGACCACATCTCGAGCAGTCGCGTTCCTTCCAGCGACACGCTAATAATCCCGCAACTTGTTGCTGCTCCGCAGCGCCCGTTGCTTCGATAACGATCTTTTCAAAATGCCCGTCGTACGGTACACACGGTTCGTTTCAGATAATACACGCGCGTCTTGTATGACGTTTATCTATTATCGTTACGTAACAATTACACCTATCACGTGGTCGCGTCGATTAATCGCGATCGTCCACCGTTTCGAATTTTCAATTTTCGCGCGCGCTTCCGCTGATTGGTCGCGCGACGAAGAAATCGCATCCGGGGTATTTCGACACGGCGTTACAAAACGAAGGAAAGACTCACCGAGATCTTCCACTAGTCGAAGCATGACACCGCCGATGTGCAATTCTCCTTTTACTCGTAAGCTTCTCTCCACTGAAAGATCGGTCACGTAGACACGCAGCACCCAGCTGCCGTCCACCTCGTGACCGTCGGAATACATGTTTCCCGATCGAACTGTCGTACGTCGAAATATGTAGAATCAAAGGCAAACGCGTACTTTGCCTTCCTGTACACCTTCCCTGTGTCCCTCAACACACTTAAACACGAGAGAGAGAGAGAACGATCGTTTTAAGGCGCGGAAATCATCGTTTCGCGGCACTTGACACCGCCGCAAAACACACTGCGATGTTAATTGTTGCGCGACGCGAAACAAATTTCGTCGTATTTCTCGGTATCACTCCAACCAGAGCTGGCGAAACTCTTCCAAGTGTGCGCACTTGCGATACACTGGCTCCGACTCTCGATCTGACTCGCACGAATTCGCTCCGAATACTGTATAGAGGCGCTCCAGTCGTCGGACCCGAGTCCCAGCTGGTTTCTCGACTGGTGTTGGCCGTGCACTCTCGGCTCCGCTACACTCTCTTACCGAGAATAGAACTATTTACAAGTGACGCGCGCTCGGAATGCGCGCGCAGACCTTTCCCCCCCCCTTCAGCCTCCGCGGCCGGGACGCCATCGTCTCGTCGCGACCCCCGCTCGAGCGCGTAACCCGTCACACAACTTGGTTTCCTTTCCCTCCGCGTCTACAACCGACCGTACTCAATTTCGTCCTTTTTCCTTTCCTATTCCATTGCCTTCAAGTGTTCGGTCGTCCCTCTCGGCCTTCTCGCAGACTCCGTTCGCGCTCATTCTCCCTTCCATCTTCGCCGACGCATCGCCACGGCTCCCTACATTTGGCACACGAGGATCCACTACGAGGACACTTTCCTCGTCGAGATGTTACATCTTCAGAATGTCGTATGAAAATAGTTCTCCCAGCTCGTTCTTGGAACGAGGTAATTTGGATTTCGTTTTGTACTTGATTGAGACAAGTTGATACTACGCATCTGTTATCTATGGATGTTTCTACCTACAGGTATTTCGTGAATTTTCTCGAGGTAGATGTTTTTAACGAATCGTAGAAGAGTTATACAATTGTTAGCTAGGTTTCTATGTAAATTTACCGATGCTTCAAATGTGTAAGATTAATTTTGATTGGATATTGCAACGAATTCGAAACTTTGATATTTATATTATCCGCGAAAGTACCGTACGGTACTTCTTCACATCTCTGTACGTAGCGCTAGTGGACAGGTAAAATATGAAGTGCAGGGCTCTTCTCTTATCTACTTCCCTGTTTTACCATGTGATACTCGTGTTTCACACGTTAGAGTTGAAAGAACGATTAGTACAGACCCAGACGAGATACAGAATAGACCTGACACCTGATGTATTCTTGTGTCTAACGTTCTGCATTACCGACCGTCTAAAAAATCAGAGGTTTTGTTATGCCCTGTCCTACACAGAGCGACGAGAGGTGGTAGAGAATGTCGACTAATGTAAAAAATCTTCTTTTATTAAATTTGCATATGCAGATAAATACATACATACATATATTAGATTGCGTGGGAAGAACTATTGATAATCTTTCGATCTACTACTACATTTATTATAATTCATCTTTAAGTACCGTGTAAATCTGACGTTAGGTATCGCTAAATATTAGACCAAACTACGTTCTCCTAATATGGCAGCCGATTTGCTCGTATTATTTGCTATACAATTCCAATTATATATCAAATAATATCGATTGCCCAGGCCTCACCACGTGGAGGTTGCTGCGAATGGAGGCCCGCCCTATCCACACGGTCCCATCCACCCTCCTTTTACGCGCCTACTATTACTTTTCTACTAATTCATGCAACACAACACCTCTCTACTGATTGTACATTTGCAGTACGTTCAAATTTTCGACCGCTATGCAAACGAACAATAGCAGGAGATTGAAAGAAATCGAACTCGAATCAAAATCGTCGGAAAAGAAAGGAAAAAAATACAAAAAAAAAAAAAATGTTAAAGGTATCCTATTAATTTAAACTTAAAGTACTTTAAGTTCAGCTTAAACTTATCTCACATCTAGCTTACAGTATAACTTCGCTAAAACTTGGAGTTAACTTAAACCTGATTTAAACTAGGACTGATGAAAGCCTTAATTCGATACGAGATATTAATTTATACATGTATCGTTACTCTGTATTTTCATCAACTACACAAGAATATGTGAAGTAGGAATCTGACCCGTGAAATATTCGAAACACGAAAGAAGAAAATCCAAGCAAACACGTCAACTTGAAGGGACTGACTGCACACCCGGCTATCTCGGAAAGAAATCAAGCGTTTCTGTTCGAAATTGTTTACAGAAAACTAACGACAGGAAAGCAATTACAATGTTTACAAGCTACCGCCTTAAATACCATGTAACTCGAGCACTGAATTGTTATTAGAGACTTGACTACTTAGATCTTAAAGTCTTAAATATTATTATTAAATTATTAAATTAAAAGTCGCCTGCCTGTCTAAGAATCTAACTTAAATTAAGAATCGCCTACCTGTCTAAGAATCTAACTTAAATTAAGAATCGCCTACCTGTCTAATGATTTAACTTAAAGTAAGAATCGCCTACCTGTCTAATGAATTAACTTAAATTAAGAATCGCCTACCTGTCTAATGATTTAACTTAAAGTAAGAATCGCCTACCTGTCTAAGAATCTACCTTAAATTAAGAATCGCCTACCTGTCTAAGAATCTACCTTAAATTAAGAATCGCCTACCTGTCTAAGAATCTACCTTAAATTAAGAATCGCCTACCTGTCTAAGAATCTACCTTAAATTAAGAATCGCCTACCTGTCTAATGATTTAACTTAAATTAAGGATCGCCTATTTAAGTAGGAATTTAATTGAATGTTGAAAATGTCCTGCCTCGCTAAAGATTGAACTTGGTTTAAAATTCGCCTATTTAATTGGGAATTTAACTTCATGTGGAAAACGACCTGCCTCGCTAAAGATTTAACTTAACTTAAAAACTGCCTGTTTAATCAAGAATTTAACTTAATGTGGAAAATAGAAAACAACCTCCCTAATTAGAAATCTATGTTGCAACACCCTGCCTATTCTAAAAATCTAAAGGGATATAAAGGAGAAAGAAGGGAGATATCGGTATGGTAAGATGAATTGCTCGTATGCTTCTCTGTCACCTGCAACAAACTCAAATTCAAAGAAATTTAGTAGTTAGATTTTACAAGTCACGGTATGGGCATCGTTCACGTCTTCTCTTCCAATAATTTCCTCAGTTTTTGGTAAAGCGAATCTGTAACAAACTCGTTTTTTGTTGGATTAATAAAAGCAAAAATGAAAGTTTAACAGCTGGAAAAAAAGATATTACGCACATATACGTATGAAATATTAATAATTATTATTATTGGGGAATCGAGTACTGTTTCCATAAGGACACAGCTTACATCCGAGTGCCTCGATAATAATAATTAAAAATGAAGGTTTAACAGCTGAAAAAAAAAAGACATTGTGCACACATTGTACATATATTTTCACGTATTCGTTGAAATAAAAGTGATATTAAAAAAAGTGAAAGGTACTTTTCATTGTTAGCAATTACGTGGTACACGTTAATAACAAATTATTTCGAAAGTTATTAGAATTTCGCAAAGGAAGAATCTTTGTTAATTGAATTGAAAATTTCTATACGGAATACCAAGATGAAAGAGAAATAGACTAAAATTGTGCACAATTAGTTTACAAGTTATTACTTTCACCGAAGAAAACGTGGAGAGATGTTCCAAATTTACTCTTCATTAGGAATTTAAAACCGAAACAATCGCACAATTTACTACAAGTTTATCTATATTATCATCATTTTTTCAATTAGCAACGAGTATGCGACGTCGTACCGGTGATTCCAACATTTCACTACGAATATTACGAGCCAACTACTTTCTACGTAACAAAGTTTCTTTGCAAGCTTTTTACGTCACATACGGAATATGAAAAACATAATCGCGGGTGTACTTTAATTCGTGCAAAGCTATCTCGAAAATTTATAAAAATTCACTGTACTCTACTGTTGCATCAATCGGTATTGCAAATTTGCAACTATTACCGACAGAGGAATCTTACGTAGCGAGAAAAGTAAACTAACTCTAATAACGATTAATTCTTATTTTCTTCTTTTAAAAATTGACCGAGCTTCTACTTGCACTTTCATTCATTATTAATTCTTCCTCTGATATATTCCGATTCAATTCGAGATTTACCGAGCTTCTACTTCTACTTTCATTCATTATTAATTCTTCCTCTGATATATTCCGATTCAATTCGAGATTCTCAACATCTCAAAGTCACTATTACTTTAAAAATAAATCATCATCGTCGATATCACTTAATATCGTAACTATTAGCAAATTTCTGTTATAACAATTCAACAGTATTTTATGACAAACACTCGGTATATTTCCCAATCCACTCGTTCTAAACCCGAGCAAAAACCGTGAGTGGAGTAATTCATTCTCATACGCAACACTAATTTATCAAATGTATGAAATAAAAAGAGTCTCAGAATCAATCGCGGTGAGTGCTTCATTTTACTTGCAATCTGAATTTACGAAAAAGAAAGATAAAAAAAGTTACCGTTAAACGCGAGAGCAGCCACGTTAGGGCGCTTTTGGGCAATACGCAACACTAATCGTCTATGCACTCTGTAATTTATAATACGCAACGCTAATAACGGGGGATCCATGGCAGTCGTAGTCAGGGCAACTGCCCTGATCACCTTTGGTGCAGCTCTTTCAGCGGGTCCTGAAAAATTTGGGCATTTCGACGCAACACTAATAAAAGACAAAACGCGTTTATTCGTTTACGCAACGCTATCGTTAAAATTACAGATGGAGTAAATGGACTCTGAATAAATAAAATGAATTTACTCTGAAAAAAAGGAAAAAAA